ATTTTTTCCAGGATGTTGTGCTTTTGGGATCGTGTCAATTTCAGTGTCTTTCCAGACTGTCAAAAACACTGTTTCCTTCTTCAAGTACATGTCCCATTTCAAAAGAAAATGTTGGCACAGGAAAAGAATCAGGCCAATTCTTCTGACGCTGTGTTAAAGGTACATGCGTAAGTATGTCTGTGTCAGAACTTGCTGTTGAAAGGTCATCACTTTCTGATCTCACTACTTTCAATGTGCCCTTCTCCTGCAATTCCTCAATGTCCACAAGTAAGCTAAGTTGTCCATCAAAGTCGGGATCCTCAAACTGAAGGCTGAAGTCACTGTCCAGTCTTGGCTTGAACTTCTCTTGCATTATGCTCTTGAGCTCTTCCACTAACTTTGGGCGCTCATTTAGAGTGAGCTTCATGGCAATATCTGTTGCAATATATACACGTAGCACAATTTTCTGGGGAGCAGCCATCTCAATGCCAGTGTTCTGTTTTAACACACAACAAAAGATATGCAGTTTGTTTCAAAACATTTATGTAATCATGGGCAAATATCTTGGCATCTCTGCATTTCTTTCTGAAAATGCACCACTTCTCCCAGGAAGATATTGCAATTACAAATGCTAGTTTCTCTTGTTTGCGAAATAAATAAACCCATCAAATCAAATGTGTGCAAGCAAAGATTGGCAAAGCGTAAAACACCTTAGATTGCTGTTGAATGAAATTGTTGGTAGAGGTCAATATGTCCATGCAGAAAAAGATATTTTAAACAATTAATAACAATTCCAATAATCCAATAATTTCCAAAAATTGATGCTGATGTAATTTTTAAACGCAAAACTGGACTAACATTCATTCAACTAACATGTATTAACATTCAGCAGCGCCTTCTCTAGTTCAAGATGCACACACAATACCAAAAACTAGTTAAAAAAACAAAAACAAAGGGATAATGTTCATGTTTACATGCATGTACAAGCACAAGGACAGGATATGATATTTAATAAGCAATTGACTCGGTGTTCGAACAGACATGAAATTCTTGACCCTTATCATGCAGCAAGCTGGCCTTAAAAATCGTGCCTATTTTCAGACATGCTCATTAATTAACAGTTAGGCTATAAATGATGCTTAATAAAAACTAACATACCTTCCCAGCTTAGCCAGCTAGGTTAAATTTATCAGCCCTGCAGTAATGTTACCGTGGCTGCCAACAGTCACAGTCTAGTAAGTGTTAACGATAAAAAAAAAGAAAGCATTTTACTTTCAATACCAAAATGTTTTTTAGAAGGAGTACAAGACTTTGGAAAGTAAAACGTTCCTGAATCTTTTTTGATGACTGACTGGTAAAGCTTGTTGCTAGTTTTTTGAATTATGATACGTTAGCTTAACGTTAACAGAATTTTTCCGAGCTGGCGTCAGATACTGACACAGGCGCGAATCCTATTTTAAAAATACAAAGACCCCCAAACCATTTTCTTCACAACATTAACAACTACTTACCCGTTCTGCTCCAAAACTCTTCTCCCCGGTTACGTGCAGCCATCTTGACAATTATACACGTTGACGATGTCAGACGTTGCGTGTCTTTGCTTACTCATAAATTATAATGTAGGTGAAAATGTTTATTCATACATATATACTCATGTTAAAATGTAATGATAAGTTAAGATAATGCAAAACTTTAATGCTGGGTTAACTAAATAACAGGTTTCAATTGCTACACTAAAAAAGTTTATAAGTTAGTAGTACTGTTCGGGTTTACAGTGCAAATAAAACAGTCCTGATGCAGGAGCTGGTCACCCTTAGCACAAGCAGAATACGTTCGAATTTTTTAGCTAAAACATAAGTTGATTCAGGGGTTGAGCTGTTGGTGTGTTCTGTATCAGTGAATTCATGTGATAGGCTGCATAAATGTTTACATTTAAATGATTTAGACTTCTCTCACTTCTGATGATTTCAGACATTCAAGTAGGACCTTTGAGTTGTATCAGCTTATTACAATGTAGTTTAGACTACTTAGCTTCAATTGATAAATGTTTGATCAATGTAGCCTTCTTGAGTAAAACTCACTTCGTTCCTATTGATTCTTGGCTCCATATATTTGCATATTGGGCATGTTTTTTCACCTTGTTTACGCTACTGTCTGTGTGTTGTCATTCTTTCCAGCCTACCTTTCCATGGATGTTGATTTGTTTTCAAAACATTTGTATTTTTTCTCGTGCTGTGCTGATGATAAATCAGCATTGTGGCAGATGAGTTACCAAGCATGTGTTGTGGTTGAGTATGGTTCTGTGGTAGCTAAATGCTGCAGAAACTGATTGAAATGAACACAGTTAGTACAGTTTACTCAATTTACTCAAGTGTATAAAACATTGAACATATGTTTTGTTCATACTCAGTTCAGGGAATTACTTATGGTCCAGTGATATGAGTTATTTAACTTAAACCATTTAAGGCAATCGGTTTCCACACTGTAAGCCCGGATAAGTTGAATTTACTGAAAAAATTTGAGGAAACTGGTTGCCTTAAAAAAAATGAAGTAATGTGTAATGAAAACTTGAGTTCGAATGACTATAATTTTTGTGTTAGGCTAACTTAAACACGTGTTTGGGCAACTCATAAATTCTAATTACTTTAACTTAACGTCTCGATAATTCAATTTAACTATATGTTTCATTAGGCAATTGAGACTTTTTTTCTAATTAAGTGATACTGACCACTTTGACAAACACCGAAGAGTTAACCTTTACAATGAACATGGTCACTGACCAACATATACTGAATTTTATATACAACAGACTTATATACAAAACGGATGCAAAGCACCACGCTTCCTATAATTATTCTATATCAGTCAACAGTTACTGTCATACTATACATGAAAAATTATGTACATTATGCAAACCTATATGTACATAGTTAAGGATTGTAAACATATATGCATGACGTACAGTGATGTGTATATGTTAACCTCTTATGCTCCAGGGTATATTTTGGTTTGGCCATCTGAATTTACGTGACCAAATAGTAAGGCAAATTATTCAGTAACTGCATGAAATAATTGCAAATTTTTATTATTTTTTTTTTGGGGGGTAAAAGCTCCCCTCAATGCATTATGTATGTTTCTATACATAACATACATTTCTATACAAGATTTTCATGAATCTTGTCAAATAAATTTATTTCCGATTAAGTAACAAATGTGTTGAACATTTCCTATGGCACTATTAGGATATATGTGCTTAACAACGATTAGTATGTTATGCAGTTCTGTAGCAGTAGCATAAAAGTTACACTTGATAAGTAGTGGTTGTTTTATAATGTCTTTAATCATTAATTATTCCGCAGTAACTATGTAAAAGTTACACTTTAAAATAAGTGGACAATTCCTGTGTAGTTGTTATGTAGGTACAGTGTAATTACAGAATGGTATTAATCCATGTGATGTGATCAGGTTACCATGTTACAACACAGTTATTCCACAGTATGTACATAAAAGTTACACTTTAAAATAAGTGGACAGTTCCGGTGTAGTTGTTATGTAGGTACAATGTAATTACAGAAGGGTATTAATCCATGTGATGTGATCAGGTTACCATGTTACAACACAGTTATTCCACAGTATGTACATAAAAGTTACACTTTAAAATAAGTGGACAGTTCCTGTGTAGTTGTTATGTAGGTACAATGTAATTACAGAATGATATTAATCCATGTGATGTGATCAGGTTACCATATTACAGCACAGTTATATATAAGTGGACAGTTCCTGTGTAGTTGTTATGTAGGTACTGTGTAATGGAGTGGTAATATAAACATTGCTTTGGGGGTAGTACAACACATTGACATTTTAGGATAAGGGGACATCTCCTGAACTGTCACATTACATAATGATTTAAAGCTGAAACTGGTTATAATGTCACATCATTAGGAACATAGATATTGTCTAAATGTTAGGAAAGCTGGTTGATCCAGTGTGAGTGATGTGTTAATGTAAGTTATTACATACTTTCTTTTACTGCTGAAAAAGACTAGAACAAAACTGCTGTTCCAGTGTGATTACAAATGTAATTACACTTATGGTATTACCCTTGTGTAATTACATGAGAGAGAATAGGCTGTTACAACTATCAAGATACACTTGTGTAATTACATGGGGCAAATTGAAGTTGATACACATGTGTAATTACACAACTTGTATTTCTGTAATCAATCTGTAATGATGATTAAATCACCTGTAGTTACACTGTTGTTGCATATGTTGTTTATATGTAACTATACAGTTATTAAAGACAATATAAAGTGGGACCAAGATGTATTTATTGCCATTTATACCGCGGAAGACAGAAAAGTCAGAAGACGTGTTTAGGTTTACTGGTCATTGTGGATATTAATAAAATGGCTATATTTGCACTGTAGATGTTGGGACCCCTGGTCCCTTTCACCATCTCAACAACTGAATTATAATCAACTTTGTAAATTTGGTGGAGTTAAGAACATTTTTTCTGGTTAAAGAACCTCCACACAATCTAGAGTTTCTACACCGATTAAACATTTTGCTTACATATCTTTAAAAATTATTTAGAAACCTTTATTTTCTCAATTTTTACTCCAACTTGCAATGAGACCGAATATCTGGATTGTCTGGGGAGACAACCAACATGATAACCACTGTTCTAGAGTGTAAGGGAACAGTTCACTCAGTTATCAGTCTCTGTTTGCAGACAAGTTGACGATGTTCCAACAGCTGCAAATGTTTTGTTTGTTCCTGAACATTGTGTGCCGTGCCTTATTATGCTGGAAGCTCTCTGACCTCCTATCAGGTAAGATTACAAGACATATTTTCTGGTATGAACTTCTCTCTAGTCACACCCATCGTGACGCAGTTATATGGAAAAGGTGAAAAAAATGTTTGATTGTTTGTTTGTTTCTCTCTCTCTCTCTCTCTCTCTCTCTCTCTCTCTCTCTCTCTCTCTCTCTCCCCGCACCACTTCTGGTATAAAGGTATGAGCAACTGTGCCGTCCTGCACTTCGCTCATTATGGAGTCTGTGCTGAAATATCTGGACTGGACGTCAGTGGGCTTGGCCCTGCTGGGTGGTCTGCTCTTTCTGCTTCTGCTGGAGATCTTCAGGTGGAATTCCTCCAGGAGCCGAAGCCCCCCTGGACCCAAACCACTGCCCTTCGTGGGTAACCTGCCCCAGTTTTCAAAAGATCGAATGGCCTTCATCAAATCGGTCAGTTTCCTTTTATTTGCAGTAGCATATTCACTTGAGTACATCATTTTTTTTTTTCTTTTTGAAACTCACTTTTAAGCTTAAAATACTGTAATTAAATATAGCCATGAAAATTTACTATGGGTCCTGTTGTAGTGTCTGCCAGATGTTAGTGCTGGGCTTTCTTAGTTTGCATTCTGCATTTTAACATGCAACCCATGCAATTTTACACTTACAATAAGGGTAATATTTGTATCTAGAATTCAGGTTGTGGAATGCAAAGTTCACCATAGTCTATGTAACCAATTGCTACCTTTCTTCCACTGCTTATCCTGATGTGCTCAAAGTGGCACGATAGACCTTTTACAAGACATTTAATAACTTCCACAAGGAGAAGTTATGTAGCCTTCTCTCCTCATCACTGAGACAGTGTCACGCATTCCTCTGGCTCAGACACAAATATGAAACCATGTGACTGAGGACTCCACCGAGCTCCAATCAGTGCTCACAGTAACCTAATGTCTGTCACCTGTGCTTCTGTTCATATGATTATGCGAGGTACTGCTTCTTCTTTTGAGAGCTACTGAGCGTTTTGTCTATTTGCCTTTTGTCTGTTTAAGATCTTGCCTGGAACTCTTGACTTTGCTTTTTGCTATTTGAATCTGTTTGCCTGGTTTTGTGATGATTGTTTTTCTTTTTTTGTTAGCCATTCTGGATTTGACCCTTGCCTCTTATATGACACTGAGTTTTGCCCAACCCTTTGATAATAATAACTCATTTTTCACGTTCTACCATAAGTGTCTGACTGGTTCGGTCACTTTACAGACAGTGAAGAGGACATGATAAGGGCTGCATCCAACTTTGTCTCTTCAGTTATCTGATTAGTTAAAAGCAAAGTTGTACTTGAAGCCAGGGGCATGTTAATGGCTGATGTCCAGGACTATTGCATGGTATTCTTCAGTTACATAGCACTGTTACAGATCTCTCTTGCCAGTGGTTTGTGCTCTGATTCAGGATCTCAACAGCTCTTTTAGCAGAGGCTGGCCCTGTCTAGAATGTGTAAAACCTAATTCATGGCTACAGGAGTAAGGTCTTTGAGCCATGTTCAACTCAGTAAGTCTCATATTAATGTGAAATGCTAAGAAAAGGTATCAGGTTCATACAAAGTTATATTATGTAGATCCAAGGATCTGGATTCTGCTGTAACACACCTAGTTTCCACAGACAGCATCCTACAGCTACCAACATCCAATCATCAAACAGCTGCCCACTGGACCCCATGGACCCCATCCAATACACATCACTCTAGACATGTGAAATCTTGCAGTCTACTGCTCCTAATCACTTCCAACACAGTTTCTTGTCTTGACTACCAGAGTAGTACCTGTTCTAAAGAAGACCACTCAAGACAGTTTTAACAACAGCAGCTATTGCTATCTTCATTTTTCACTCATAACCAGCACTAGGATCCCAGCATCTTCAAACTGGTGCAGTCTTCAGAAACCTCTCCTGTAGCAAAGGTGGAGAAGCTTCACACAGTCCTGATTCTTTTTGATCTCTGCAACATTTCACAGAGTCAGCCATAAGATTCTCCAGCCTGTTCTCAACAACACTGGAGTCACTACTTTTACACATTTAAACACTGCAAAAAATACTATCTTAATGAGTGAAAACTTCTTAAATGTAGTCAATAAACCTAATATTTCTCATTTTGAGACTGTTGTAGATTATTATTAGATTATTCCACCTGTTTCTGTACATTTTTACTTGTTTTAAGTTATTTTATTTAGTGAAGGTATCTTATTTTATTGTCAGATTAGTTTACTTGTTTTGTGAAATAATGAAGAGAATTTTTGCTTATTTCAAGAAGTAATGCTTAAAACAAGAAACATGATCTGCCAGTGGAAGAAGACACTTTTATGAGATAAAACTGCTTAAAAACAAGTAAAAAAATGTCTAGAACACTCTCATAATGAGAAATATTAGAGATATAGACTACATTTAAGATTGCATTAAATCATTAAAGCATTAATTGACCACCTATTTGAACTTCTTAAAATACATTGTACTGCAGTGGAAATACCTTATTTCTGTATTATGTATCTTTGTCTAGGTAACAGGTCTCATTCCAAGCAGTACCTTAGTTTAAAGGTGTTTTTGGACACCTATTTTTAGCATCTAAGGAAACATTCTGTGAGTGAAAAAAGTCAAGGCTTGACCTCTAAGCCAAAAATGGACTTGCCCCTCAATACCTGAGTTTAAAAGTCCAAACTTTCAAGTCAATCCACACCTTGTGCCCTTAGAGGTTCAGGCATGCTTTGGCTTGTTCCGCTGTACATAAAGATGCGTGGAGGACAAGATTTAAGACTCTTCCCTGTCCAGGCACCTAGTCCCTTGCCGTCTCCAAATGCTGAATGAGGACTTGTCTCTTTGTAGAGCATTCAAATGACCACCTATTTGAACTTCTCAAATTGTCTTGTATTGCAGTGGAAATGCCTTTTTTCTGTATTATGTATCTTTATCTAGGTAACAGCTCCCATTTTAAGCAGTATGTTTGTTCAATGGGGTTTTTGGACCCCTGTTTTTGCTATCCAAGGAAAGATTCTGTGAGGGAAAGGCAAAGCACTTCTGTAAGTTGTTAAAGATACCTGGGCCTGGTAAATGGCATCAATGAAAATGCTTAAATCAAAAATCATATTTATTAGAACAGAGAAAGCTGCTGAGCTGTAGAAAGACTAGAACTCACTGCAAGCACATCTGCAACCAAATGTGGAAACAGCTGCATCAGCACATAAACTTGTCTATTGCAAAGATGTAGGTAATTTAAACATTTTCCATCCCTTCAGTTGCCGAAATATGGTGAGATGTGCTCCATATACCTGGGCAGGAAGCCAATGATCATACTGAACAACATGCAGCTTGCAAAGGAAGCTTTTGTCCAGAATGGGACCGTGTTTTCCGGAAGGCCACTTCAGCCTTTAACAAAACGGATCAACAAAGGCTATGGTTAGTAGGGCATGACTCATGTTAATTTACTTGTCTGATTTTTTTTTTTACAGCCGCTTGTATTTTATTTTTTGAAAAAATAGAAAAATGTTAGTGTGCCATTCATTCTCCAGGGAAAGACACCTTCCTATACAATGTTTTTACACACTTCCCAGCATTTCTGTCTTTTTACTTCTCTCTGCCTTTTTTAGGTATTATTGCAGCCAATTATGGTCACTCTTGGAGACAGCAGCGCCGCTTTGCTCTGCACACACTGCGTGACTTTGGTCTGGGAAGGAAAACTTTGGAAGAGCGTGTGGCTGAGGAGGCACATTACCTCATCAAGGAGATACTCAAACAAGAAGGTAGGTGATGAAGAGCTGTATATGCCTTCTTAGTGTAGTTCTGTGGTCAGGTAATCTTTGTCTGATGTACAGTTACAATGGTAGGCAGCAGCACTAGAATTAATGCATTGTGTCTTTGAAATTAGTATTTATTTCATAGTCAATAGTTTAATTCAGAATAAATTACTGGCTAATGACAGTTTGAATGAATATTTGTTCAAATCACCATGGACAATTTAATGTTCAACAAGTTCAATTTTACCCATCAGACCACTACACTGTAGCTCGGTGAATCTCATTAATTTTTTAAAAGTACTACTGATAGTAAGGCAACAGGCACTTTATGGCTGATAGACACATACGTTTTTTGAGATATATGTGTGATATTTTACCAAAAAAAATTCATATTGTCATTGTTCTGTCTTTGTGCTTTTTCTCCTTCAAACACATTATTCTGCAATTCTTCTTGAAGGAAAACCTTTTCATCCCATCCACCAATTTATGAATGCAGTTTCCAACATAATCTGCTCCATCATCTTTGGAGACCGTTTCGATTATGACAACAAGCGCTTTGCTAAGCTGCTACAAATTCTAAATGAAATTATTCGGTTTGTCGGATCATCTGCGGCACAGGTAATTACTAGGAGCTTTTCAAGTGTTGTCATTCATTTTCACTGATCATGTAGAGTAAAAGCACCAAACAATATGATTTGTCTTCTAAATTAATTCCAGCTGTTTTTTTCTGGTTTCCTGGTATATATTTATAATGAAATTATACACTGACAAAAAATTACCGTCATGATGTGCTTGAAGTGCTTACATTTAAACAAATTGCTAAAATAAATTATGAATTGTAACTTGAAATTCTTGTTTCTTTTTTTTCTTCAGATCTTCAACTTGGCCCCCATTATAAAATACTTTCCAGGGCCGCATCAGAAGGTGCAGCGTAATGTCGAAGCCTTAAATAAATTTATCCTTGAAATTGTGGAGGAGCACAAGTTGACTCTAGAACCAGACAACCCCCGGGACTTCACTGATGCCTATCTGATTGAGATGGCCAAGGTGAGAGGTCAAACTTCAGGTACACAGCAGTGTAGAGAATGGAGGGACCCTACCTGCTGCACACTTTAACAGTTCTCCAGCACACCTATTTTAACTCATCCAATACTTATCTGTGCACTCAGAAGACTAGTGAGAATAATTTTCTACATCGATTATTTTCAAGTTGACAATTATCTTAAATCAGTTATTTGAGCAGCCTTCAGTATCCTTTGGTAGCATCTGTGTAACAGAATGTAAACATATCTTGTTTTGAGCAGCAAGAGTCAAAGGAGGACACCACATTCCATGTAGACAACATGATGTGGTCAATCCTTGACCTGTTCTTGGCTGGGACAGAAACTACAGCGAATACTCTCAGATGGGGCCTCATTTACATGATGGACCACCCCGATGTGCAAGGTACTATTGTTGGTGACCACTGAACTGATTCCATTTGTACACTAGGTGTGGTGTAAGGAATGGTATTTGTTTTGCTACTTTATATTTTCAACTGATGTTTTTCTATGGATAATTTGTTACCGACCCAAATTGAGCACTGTTCTGTTTTGTATGTATGTAACATCATCTCTTTTTTGTGTCCTCTGTGTTTTATCTCACGCTTGCACCTGGTTAACCACATCAGAGCGCTGTCATGAAGAGATCATTCGGGTACTGGGTTTTGACCGCTCTCCGTGCATGGATGACCGCCCACAGCTCCCGTACACTTGTGCCACTGTTTATGAGATCCAGCGCTATGCTAGCATCGTTCCTCTTGGCCTGATTCACAAAAACACACAACCAGCACTGCTACGAGGATACCACCTGCCCGAGGTGAGGAAGGGATAGCACTGTAGACTGAATACATGACAGGCTGAATGGATAGACATTTGAATGTATAAAATGCTGAATGTATGGATCTCTTTATGGATGGGAGGATGAATCAATGGAAGTATGAATTAATGGAGTTATGGCATATCTGATGTTTGAGGAAAAGACCATGCCTGAAACTTCTCAATTCCAGCTTCCTATAAATACAGTGTGGCCACACATATTCCATCAAGAAGTATGGCTCCTCTGAACCATCCATTAATAGCCTGGTGCCAAATTTAGACTTCTCTCTCCACTACGCTACCTGGCTGAAGCCCTGTGTTGGATCCTGCTGAACATTTGCAGACTGACCCTACATGCTCCACCCCCTTGATGATTTCCTCATAATATGCTCCTCTTCTGTTACTTCACTCCACCGCCTCCTTCCCTGACACCTCTTGGTGCTCCACTTCTGGCTCATCCTCCTCCAGCAATGGAACAGTATTACTTTTTTCCAAGAAGAAGCCATCTCTGTTCCTGAAGATTTGCAACTGTACACCAACGCAGCTCCCTCGATTGGCTTCAGTGGCTTTTACAGCAGCCATTGGTTCACTTCTGTATGGCCTCTCAGAGTTCACTTTTGCTTTCACTGAAGTCTTGCATTTCCTCTGCCTTGTGGGAACTCTACCCTGTTGTCATATCTGCACTCCTTTGGGGAAATGAATGGATAGAACAAGTAATCCTCATCCATTTTCAGGAATTCAAGGCCTTGGCACCTCATGCAGAGCCTTATCCTACCCAAATCAAGTTAAGTCAAGTCAAATTTATTTGTATAGCGCTTTTTACAACTGATGTCACAAAGCAGCTTCACAGAAATCCATTAAGGACAACATTTTTAACATGAAATGTAAATCCTCCAGGTGAGCAAGCCAGTGGCGACAGTGGCAAAGAAAAACTCCCTCAGAGCTGGGGAAGAAAACCTTGGGAGGAACCAAGGCTCACAAGGGGGGACCCATCCTCCTCTGGTCAAACTACCTACAAATTAATTATACTACTATTATTAATAGTAGTAGTAGTAGTAATAGTTAGGAGTCCACTTCAGTGTAGGGTGGGCAGCTAGTCCAAGGCAAGTGGCGGTAGCTGGGCAAGTGGCGGTGACTGGGGTGTGGGCAACTGGTCTGAAGCGGGTAGCAGTAAAGCTCGACAGACAATCATCCATCAATGTCCGGCCGGATAGGTGGGCAGTCGTTTACTTGGAAAAAGGTAGGGAGATGGAGTTAGTTTTGTTCTGTATGGGTGTTTGTATAGTAATATGTAAAACATTTCCAGAGTGTGGCTAATGACTCCGGCAGATCTGACTATAACATCTTAACTAAAAGGAGAGAACCAAAAGGAGAGAACCAAAAAGAGAGAACCAAAAGGACACACAGATACGGGAGCACCCTGAAACCCCGACTCCATCCTCCAACTGACCAGCAATTCTTTCAGCTCCTCCTTTAAGCCCAAGAAGTCTTAAACGCAGTCGCCCCTTGTATCCTGTCAACTTGTTGGTTGGGGTGGAAATCTTTCCAGCACTTTCATGCACTCTACAGCATCCTGTTCCCTTCAGACAATCTTTCACACCACATCTAACCACCCTCACATCTCGCTTTTACTAAAAGGAATCCAAAGAAATGACCCTCACCTTCCACCTCGCCAGCTGCCCTTAACCACTGACACCCTGCACTATTGCATCCAGACACTTTGTGCTGGACTCTTTCCCAAGGTGATATCCGCCACTCTAGAAGTCCTTTTTCTCCTCGCTTTCTTCGGTTTCCTGAGATGTTCAGAATGTACAGATCAAACAGAAACCTTCAACCCTGCCTTACATTCCTGCCTATCAGACCTAACTATGTTAAACACCCAACAATCAGACCCACTCTTCATCAGAGAAACTGGCTCCATTGTCTCCCATCGCTGGTTCCACAAATGCTTACGCCTAGTCTTCTCACTTACCGGTTACCCTCTACAATGATTTTCTGCTCATTCCTTTAGAATCAGAGCAGCTTCTTCAGCAAAACAGAAGTATGACTGGATGTGTAACCACAGAAACAGGGTTACCTGAACAGGTTTTGGCAAATGTCACAAAGTTTAAGTAAATTAAACTATAAAAAATGAACATATTTGTGACTTAAAAACAAGGTGAAGCTTTCAAATGCAAAATAGAATTTAAAACCCATGTAGCGAACAAATACTTAAGTTTTCAAATTATTTAAGTTAAACTTCAAATAAACTACATTGCACAACTTTTATCATGTGGTATATTTCACAAATTGTATAGCAGTTTATATTTATTTGTAGCTCTCTTTTCTTTTTATGATTAAATATACAAAAATGAAAACTGGGAGTAAATCTCCACTGTTCAAGACATTTAATCGATATTAACCTATGTGGTTTTTTTATTTCCACTTCTCATGGCAGGGATATGAGATGATGGTCAACTTAATGGCCATCATGACTGACAAAGAGCACTGGAAGTATCCAGACACGTTCAACCCAGAGAACTTTCTGGATGAAAAAGGACAGTTTTGCAAAAACGACGCCTTTCTGCCGTTCTCTCTGGGTGAGTCTGCTGATGATGTTTACCTGAGGGTCCGTGTGCAACAGAGCTAGCTCAAAAATTGATTATGGAGTAGGATTTGTTTTCAATCTGGGAGTTGTGATGCAGACTATCCAATACCAAAGAAAAAGATCAGCAGTTTGATTCTAGAAATTCTGGAGTCGACTCTAATTCTGACTACCAGTGAAGAGAAATGATGGAATCAATTTTGAGAGTTGATTCCACACAAAAACCTTGGTGAGTTTTGGTTCCAAAAATAGGTAATTGAATGGGAAGGTTCTGGAGGGACTAATGTGGCAATCTACTTACATGAGCTCTATTTAGCACAATTACTGTAAAAGCTTTGGAAAGGCTCAGGATTCAACAGAAGCCAATATATGACCAGGAAAACAGTGACGCCTTGATTACATCCAGCAAATCTGAATAATTTTACTGGTTGGTCTCATGTTATGTTAAGTATAGAGTTACAGGTTAACAATACATGCAACCACAATGTAATTACTGCTGATGTATTCACTGTTACAGATGGATAACAGTGTTGTGTTTACAGTGTTGAATTTACAGGTTTTAAGAGTGAAAAACCTTTACATCTACATTTCACATTGCAGGACACTTCATGATGTGTCAATCAGCCCCAGAGTCCTAGAACCAGACAAAATTTGAACAATCCAGTGGATGAACATTCTTGTGTTCATATGTGTGGGTATATACAGTAGTCCCAAGAAGTATTTGGACATTTTCTTATTTGGAATACGTTTATTGTTTTAGAAAGCAACATGTCAAGCCAAATGGCAGTTCTTTTAAAAACAACATTCCAAGACCTTTCAAAAGGCAAATGATTCAGATCATTACTTTCCAGATCGCCAGAACCTTTGGCAGCAGAAAACTGAAACTGAGCTGTGCTTTTCATCTCAGAAGTTCCAGTTCTTATTTTATTATGTCACCAATAAGCTAACCAGAGGGTAAGGTAGAATGGTATGTTGGTGTGTGAATTAGTGCCATTGGTTCCTATTCAGGTCAATGCTTCCTTTTGAATGTTCATTGGAAACAAAATTTGGAATTTTGGAATTCTTCTCCAGACTTTCTCTACACAAAGAGTCTGCCATCATTTGATGTTGTGCTAAAACTCTCTTTCTCTGAAACAAATATCATTCTGTTAAACATTTGTAAAGAAACCTAGAGAACTGCATTAAATATAACCAACGGTTAAAGTGTCCAAACAATTTTTGGGGCCACTGTATATGTCAGCCCACAGTAACTGGCTCAAAACATTACTGGTCCACCAGAAAGTCTGCCAATCTGGCATTATGATGATTTGTGTGTGTGTGTGTGTGTCCTGCAGGTCCGAGGGTGTGTCTGGGTGAGTCTCTAGCAAAGATGGAGCTCTTCATCTTCTTCACCTCTCTGCTCCAGCGGCTGAAGTTCTCGTGGCCTGCTGGAGCTTCACGCCCAAACATGGACGGCATTCTGAGCGTGGTTCGTTCTCCATACCCCTTCCATACAATCTGCTGCAGCAGAGAGACCACCCACTGAATCAAGTTTGCCCTTTACATGTGAAAGGTCAACATCACCCCAGGAGAACTCTCTCTTCTTTAACACATCTAGTCAATCTCAATAAGAACACATTATCAAGCTCTTTCTTCACACTACAACAAATCAGGGATAAATTCCAGCAGAATATTACACACAATAGTTATTTTTTATTCACATTTCCTAACAGGGGATTTAAAATGAAAAAAGGCCAATACTGTACTTACACTGAGGTCTAAATGTCTGAGACCACATTCAAAATCAGGTAATTTTTTATATAAGTTTGGAAATGAACTACAAACATTTTTGGATTTTGAGTTTAAGTTTATTTATTTTTTTATAGAACAAAGAAATGTTGTACAAGAAAATATATATATATATATATATATATATATATATATATACATATATATACCTTATAGACCCCAATAATCAGTTAGGTACAATATTGATATGTAATATGCAAATAAATGAGCTCTGTAAAATGTTTTATTGATTGCAGTTACTGTTTAATAAATGAGTAAATTTTGCTATTTTTATGATTAAAAATAAATATTTTATTCATGGGTTATTGGATTCTGGCTCCTTAAGGCTTAGTAAAGGCAATATAACGGGCATCTAAAATGATTTGCAAAAGCTTAAAATATTGTACACAAATAAAATGCTTTGAAAAAATGTTTTATTCAAATTATTTATTGCTTAATAAAGTGGTAATAAGCAGCCAGTTAATTAGCAGCTACTGGCTTTATAAGGCTTAAAAAGTTACTGAAACCACAGCATTAATAAATCTATGTTATCAGGTCTCTCAGTGAGAGTTCTGGGCTTCAGTACAAAGATTATGATATTACAGGTCATATGATTGTGTGTGTGTGTGTGTGTGTGTGTTTGTATGTGTGTGTAAAATTTAATTAGTTGCAGGGTGTTTTGTGTGTACCGGTGGTGTGTGTGATAAGGGGGTAGTATAGTGTGCGAAAGGTATTTACACTCAAATTTGATTCTACTAGATCAAAATGCTATGTATAATGTATCTGTCTGTCTGTTTTGTAAGGAAAATGGCAGCGTGGTAGCACACACAGCAGCCTCTCTAGGTCTGACAAATGGTGCTATTTTGGTGTTATTTTTGTGTTATTAGTTTAGGTCTTTCTGACAGTACATGGAAACCACCATGACTTATGTTAACTACCACCGGACCCTGCTACAGATCAGAAAACATCCAGAAACCAACCTTGAAGACGATCTGCTGCAGAAGATGCTAGGCTAGCTGCTAATATGTCATAGTATGTTGCAGCCTGCTTTGCACAACTCCACATATTCTCAGTACTGTCTAATGTCTGTGTTCTGTTTTGTATTTATTGCAAGTCTTTTGTATTTACTGCACTGTATTGTCTGCACTGTGTATATTGTATTGTTTTTGCTGGATTATTTAGATTATTTATTAATAGAATAAATCTGTGGGGGTCCATGGATTTATTTCCACACCGGAAGGCGTCCCTGGATGCATAAACTTTGAGAACTTAATACATTAGCTTAACCTCACCTGGATTCAAGTCAGTGGATCATTTCCACAGTCCTCCACTGGAGGGTGCAGTTCTGCTTTCAGTCTGATTCAGAAGCAGATTAAACTGCAGCAGCCTAAGATTTGAGTATGTAAATCCAGGTGAACAGAAATAAGCATTAGAGCTTCATATAATTAAGATACATAAAACTGGGCTGAGATCAGTTAAAGGTACCTGCTAGCAGTTTGTTTATAACTCTGTGTTTAGCATTTACATCTCATAATTTTGTATTTAGGAGGACCTAAACCATTTTTTTCTATTAATTAATGGTAATAAAATTGGCTAATAAGTAATAATATATTGTTAGATGGTGTTTGTAAGTTTTAAGCATTGAACTCAAACCAGATTTGCCTGCAGAGTTTATCTTCACAGCTTTGTGGTGTTTTTAGGTTTTTGACAATGAAGACTAATTTACAAAAACCACTGGTTTTAAGTCCATCTGTAAACACTCAATATTGAGACTGACTGAAGCTGATTCTTATTTATGTAAAGTTTTTTTTTTTTGTTTGGTCACTTTCAGCTCTCTTCTGCCCCATCTCTGGACCACATGTTAAAAGTTTTAGGATTATTTTTGAAGTTTGAAAAGCAAATAAATGCAATTAATGACAGCAGCTTAGAACATGTGCCAAAACTGAATCATTTTTCACACTCAACAAGATTAAAAAAGGATTACACCCAACCCGTATTATTTTGTTGTATTTTGCAGTGTTTAGCAGTTTTCCAATTGCCCCTAGGTGTGAATGTGAAAAGATTACCACATAGGTAACTGTTAGGAAACTGAAACCGATCAGGCACAGACAAGGTGATAGTCTACTTCGAGGTTTAGGAGAGTCTCAAGGAGGGTAGTCGTAACAGTTCAAAGTCAAACCCAGAGAGCATAATAACCACAACCAAAGGGACATCAGGAGAGTGAAACCAGATACGAGTCCAAGTTCAAAAACCAGGAGATCAGGAAAATCACAGCAAACAAACCGATAAGGGCAAACATGAAAAAAAGGTTAATAAAGACAGACGACTCAGTATACAACAAGGAAGACTGGCAATATTTTGCATTGTGCTAGTCTAAAGCTTGGACTTAAAATGTGGACTAGCTAATGACTAGATGACAAAATAAAGGTGTGTGAGTTCAGAATTCTCGTGAGGAGGAGTGTAGGAATGAACGTTCATTGGTGGATGGTGAAGTGAGGGACGTCACATGATCGTCTAGTGGCTCATGGGAGTTGAGGTCCTCTACATAGTCCATGGACTCAAATGATCCCACATGAGAAAGCTCACAGGCAAAGGAGGCGTCCACAATGGGAGGTGTGACAGTAACATAGTATAAGATGTGTTTGGCACAAGATCGAAAAATGTTGTAGCCATTACCAAACCAACAAAACTGCAATCTTAGAATTCTTAGAGGCTTCTTGAGTACAAGACTCTTTAGTCTGTAGGGCTTAACCAAACTAACTGGTTAAGGATTGTCCAAGACAATTATTATAATTGGGTGAAAGGTGACAATTCAGACATCTTCGAGGCCTGACTGAGAGCAACTCTTGCTGACATCATTGAGAGGAACACTGAGTTTGTTGACGGAATCTTGTCAATGACACTGCGTTCAGTTTTGCTTCTGAGCACATCTAAGTCAGCATTATAACACTTAATTTTTAACAGTAAATCAGCAACTGTGTATGTAGATTGTCTGTTCTACATATAACTTGCATGAAGGTATAACTGTGTTGACCAAGTCTGTATTAGACAGAGAAAACACGTGTCGGTGCTCTCACCCCCCCCACCACCTCTCTCTCTCTCTCTCTCTCTCTCTCTCTCTCTCTCTCTCTCTCTCTCTCTTTCTTCTGTTAGAGTTTAATCTGCTAAATTTCATTTAAGCTTTTACCTTAGTTAAGCCTTTGTGTGTGAGGTTAGGTAACTCAATAACCTGATTATTTTTCTTAATTTTTATCCATTCTATTAATTATCTTTCCTTTTTATGTTCCTGTAAACCTGAAAACCATTTTTCCTATTACATTTTATAATCTGTTAATATCCAATGTGTGGATTTCTCTTTGTAGTTTTGGGGGTTTATTGCATCTGAAAAATGTACTGCTATGTAATGTTTTAGCGCTGTGTTATATGTCATATCTGTCACACCTGTCATTTGTCATACATAGGCTGGGCCTAATCATGGTATCATCCCAGCTATAAAACTTTGTCGGTCCATTATTTTACAGGCTGGCTAGGTGTTTGGGACTGGCACAGGGATTTGGATTTTTCATATCACATAAATTATGAATGGATGATCGCATACATTTCTAAATTTTAATCTTAGTTATGCCGTGGTGAAGTACCCAGCACCAGTCTGAATGACTTTTACATCCCAAAGAATGAATTATGAGGAAAATTGTTGGAATTCTCATTTAACTGAGAGCGGGTATCCACCCTCAAGGAGTGTATATATATTTTAAAAAAAAACAAAGGTACGAAGGGAATGCTTTGAAGCGATGTCAAGACTTGATAAAGAACCTTGCAGTGGATGAAATGAGATATGCAAAGGAACAACATTTTTTTCAAGTTGAAAGAATCTCCACACAGTACAAATGTTCTGCACCAACTCAAGATTTTGCCTATTTAGGAACCTTTATTTTCTAGATCAGTGTTTCTCAAACCTGTCCACATTTGCACTCCAACTTGTACAGGGATGAATCTAAAATTTAGACCATCTGGGGATGCCCTGAGAACCACTTTGAGAACCACTGTTCTAGAGTGTAAGGGAACAGTAATACATGTCAGTTTCTGTATGCAGAGAAGTTCACAATGGCTTACAGCAGCTGTAAATGTTTTCTTTAATCCTGAACTTTGTCTGAGGTGCTTTACCAAACGAAGTTATTAGACCTCATTAATGGTAAGATGTTAACCTATCCCTAGCAACATTGTAACGCAGTGGCATGAAAGGCATTGCACTCAGAGGCATTAGGTATCCTGCATCTTATCTGTTTTGGTGTGCTCAACATGGGCCTAGATCTAGATCTACAGACCTCTATGAAGGGAGGCAATGTACCCTTCTTTCCATATCACTGTGATAGTGAAGAGAACATGATGAGGGCTGCGTCTAATCTTGACTCTTCATTGTACGCTACATTGTACCTAAAGCTGGGGGTATGTTTTTGGCTCATGTAAACAACCTTTACAACCTATCTTCTCCCAACCCCAATGCTTTGAGCTCACAGTCTACTTTTTTTTTCAAGACAAAGAGCACTGGAAGTATCCAGACACGTTCAACCTGGACAACTTTCTGGATGAGAAAGGACAGTTCTGCAAAAATGACTCCTTTGTACCGTTCTCTCTGGGTGAGTTTGCTGATGGTGTTTACCTGAGGGTCCACCTGTAACAGAGCTACATGAAAATATATTAAGATTTATATGAGCATCAGCACTGGAAAACAGTCAGAGTAGGACTCGTTGTCTGACTATGAATTATGTGATGCAGACAATCCAACACCAAAAACCATTTAATTTGCAGAGCTGTTTGATTCCAGAAATTCTGAAGTTGGATCTAATTCTCATTTCAACTGAAGGGAAATGATGAAATCAATTTTAAGTTCCACACAAAATATTCTTGAGTTTTGGTTAGTAATTAAATGTAAAGGCGTTAAGTGTGAAAACACACCAGAGTTGAAGTCTTGCACAATCTCTGTTTAGCACAACTACCCATTTTTTATTTAATGCCAACAATAAGTTCCAAAAAAGTTGGGAC